TGAAAAATTAAATCAAAATGTGATATTTTACTCATTTCATATTATATAAACTACATAGAAATAATATAATTATAAATTTTGCTTAGATTTGGAATTTCTGACCTGTTGTTTAAAATATTATCACTTTTGCTAATACAAACCATTTCCAAAAAAGTTCTTTTAAATTTATTACTTTCACTACATAAAATTTTAATATTATCAAAATCCATAATATGGTCTATGGTCCATAATAATATGTCTATTACATGCTCTGCCAAAGCACAATATGGTTTCTTAATTCTGCAATCACTTTTGTGAGAAATAATGCCATTTGAGAGATTTCTTCCGGTCTCACCAACATACTCAGCTTCACATCGAGTACAACTAATGCTGTATTCTACATTTGTTTTTCTAATTATTTGTCTATAGGATACTTAGTTTTGGAATATAAAGATGAAATGGTTTTGATGTTCTTTGTTGCTATTTTTATATTGTCAATCACCTTTAGTGTTTGTATTATTAGGTCTTAATAATGGTATAAAAGGTAATGAATGATAATAGATGTTCTGATTGTTGGATACAATGTTCTGAGATTTAGCAAAAAATGGTGTTAAGTTATTTATATTAAAACAATTAGAAGAAGGCATCCTATGTAGCATATCTGGAGGATAAGAGTTTTCAATTAAAATATTTTTTAAGAATTGAAGATCTTCTTGTAGATAGTTTGGATGAGAAAGTTTTAAAACACGTTCTTTTAATCCTGTTATAAGGTTCATTTTCATCTTATTTGGATAATTAGAGTAATAGCTTATAAATCGATTACTACATATGGGTTTTCTGAACCATCTCACCTATGGGGTTTCAACACATTGTCTGTATTTCTTACAATTCTCATGTCAAGGAATGGTAGAGAATTATCCACCTCTTGCTCAACTGTAAATTGTATATGTTGATTATGATTGTTGAAAATGTTGACTGTTTCAAGAATTTTGTGTTTAGGAAGTGCCAAAACTAAATCATCTGCATATCTTTTAATAAACGGAATAAAAAAGTGCAATTGTTGATACAATCACTAATAACATCATCCATGACATAGCTACTTAAAATGGATGAAAGATTAGATCTCATAGGGCCACCAAAAATTTGTTTATAAAAGACTCATTCCAATGTTTTTCAACACTACTTATGGTTAAATCTAAAGGTAAATTGGTAAAAAGAGATGTTACATCAAAACTAACTAAAACATAATTTTGTGGTAATTGGAAATTATTAATGAAATAACTAAAATCAAATCTTTTAAAATTGTTGTTTAAATTATAAGCATTAGTTAAGATGTCAGTGAGGAGCTGTGCTATTGGTTCATTTGGAGGGCATAAAGATGAAACAATCGGTCTCATAAAGTTGGTTTATGTATTTTAGGTAGAGCATAAAACCGTGGTGCAATAGAATTATAAATTTTGAGTTCTTTTGCTTTTTTATTATCAATAAATTTCTTACTGTTTAATTTTGATACTAGACAATTTGCTTTTTGTTGCAAAGACTAACAGGACTCTTTCTAAGTGTAGTGTAACACTTAGTATCATTTAAGAGTTCTCCAGTTTTTTGTAGGTAATCCTCTTTATACATTACAACAGTTATGTTACCTTTATCGCTTTTGACAATGTAAATTTCAGGATGGTTTTAAGAAAAAGTTTGGTTTGTACATAGTATTTATTTAAAAAATGATCTTTGACTTCTTTATGTAAAAAGTTTGTAATGACGTTTCTACATTTAGATCTAACAACATCCTGTTGATTATCATTAAGTAGTCTGATTATTGATTCAATATCAGAAAGTAAATTAGGAACTCTAATATCAGATTTGGAAGGACATAAAGAAAATTTAGGTCCTAATGCTAAAAGTTTTTTAATTTCAAAAGGAAAATGAATAGATGTCAGATTCTCCATTTTTCTTGAAATTTTATCTTATTAAAAGCTTCTATTTTTAATTTATTGAACTTATTAATTTGTATTTTTTTGATTTTATGAAATGCTGTGTTGTATTTAATTCTTTGTCTACGATTAAATTCATTAAATGTATGGACATTTAAAATATTAAAAGCCTTGGTACGTAACTCATGTAATTTTCTTTTAAAAAAGTTATTATCAGCAAAAGCAATCTTAATCTCTAAATTAATATTATTTCTTCCAAACCTGTCACATAATTTCCGAGCATGATGATGAATATTCACAGTGCGATGTTGTAAAGAGGGAATTAACATTAACTAGGCCATTTGTATCATGTCGAGGGAAACATGCATTAGATCTACATTTCAATAAAAAGGTCTTCTGATTGTGTGAAGCAGCAAGTTTGATGGTAATTCTAGTCCACTCCTTCAGAATTCTGACTGTGGATTGCCCATAATCATTTCGGATGTCATCGAAAAAACCAATATTTATATATATATATATATATATATATATATATATATATATATATATATATATATATTATAAATAACTTTTGGTGGGTTGTTCATAGA